CACCAGTACTCCAAGTCCTTCTCCCCAGAGCTGCTCTCCATCCATTCATCCCCAAACCAGAATGATACCGGGGGTTGCCCCCCTCCAGGTGCAGCATCAGCACTTGGTCTTGTCCTTTGACAGCCCTGTGGCACCTTCTCACATCCTTCCCCCCCAGAACACAGGTGCCTGAGCCACTGTCATACCTGTCACACCCACCACTTGCCCACCCCGTGTCCCCTCATCAGCCCCAGGGGGTCCCCTCAGTCGTGCTCCATCTCCCACCACCTTTGGGGCCAGCACAGGGACCGGGGGTCCCCAGGAGTCTCACCATCCCCCTGGCTGGAGTGGAAGCTGAGGCAGGAGCTGTGCAGGGCAGTTTCCTGACCCCACAGCTCACGGGGCAGAGATGGGGGGGCCCACTGGGCTGAGGCCTCTGCACCCCCACACCCCGGCCCATGGCTGCACGAGCTGAGCCCCCAGTGCCCTGAGGAGCTGGGCTCAGCCCACAGCCCCTGCCCCACGACTGGGACCCCACTGCCCCGAGAACACATCAGGACCTCATCACCTCTGGGCAGGAACCCCACCAATGCTGCAACCCCACTCTTCACCCACACCCCACTGTCCCCTGGACCCCACCACCTGATGAGACATAATTGCCCACCAGGACCCCACCATCTGCCAGGATCCCATTCACTGCCCACCAGGACCCCAGTTCCCACTGGAACCACTCCATTGCCTGGATCCCACCACCCACTGGAACCCCACTGCCCTCCAGGACCCCACAGTCACCTGGATCCCGCCACCTTCCAGGGCCCCACCACACCCAGATCCCATCAACGGTGCTGGGATCCTCCCACCTGCTGCGACCCCGTTGTCCTCTGGGATCCCACCACCCATTAGGACCAGTCACCAGGATCCAAGCACCAGTGCTGGGACCCCATCACTACCTAAATCCCACCCCCCTTGGGACCCCACTACCTGTACCAGAAGTCCCACTGGGACCACTCCTTCTGGGATCCTACCACCCCTTGGGACCCATCATTTGCTGGGACCCCACCATCACCCGGACTTCCCCATCTGCACTAGGACCCCACTGCCCACGGGGGTCACGGCAACAGGGCTGGGGTCCCACCACCACTGGGATCCCCCCATCACCGGCACCCCATTGCTCACCAGGACCCCAAAGCCACAAGAATCCCAGCACCCACCAGGGCCCCACCATCATCTACATCCCACCACCACTGCTGGGATCCCCCTTCCTCCAGGAACCCCCCCACCCTGCCACTCACAGACCACACAACCACACGTAAGGGTTTTTTTTTTTTTTTCTCTCTCTTTTTTTTTTTTTTTTTTTTTTTTTTTTTTTTTTTTTTTTTTTTTTTCCTCTTTTTTTCTCTTTTTTTTTTTTGCACAAAACAGGACATTTATTCAAGTGTTCTCCAGCACAAGTACATTAGAAAGGAGCTTGTCTGTATTATACTCTTTTGGGCACCAAAGAAAAAAGAAAAGGAGGATGGGATGGAAGCGGGACGGACAGACTTTCTACATCTGCTGCACGCATTGACCTTTATTAGTTCAGAACAGCTATGTCACGAGCAATACTCACACAGATACAACAGCGCCGGGCGCCCGTGGCACCTCCGGCCGTGAAATGCACAGTTCAGCGGCAATAAATAGAGAAGCGACCCTAAAAAAACAAACCAACAAAAAACGGGGGCAACGAACCGAGAGAGAAGTAGAAAATAAACCGAGGGGGGGGGGAGGTTGGTTTGGGGCTGGGGGGGTGGGTAAAGGGGAGGGAGAGCAGCCGGGGCGGCCGCGGCGGCGCCGGGAATGTGGCGGCGGAGCCAAATCAAAGGGAGGAAGGAGGGTACCAGCTCTACGCGCGTATTCCTTGGGATGATGAGTACATGATTCCCACAAATAGTTAAGCGTCAGCTACTTCAATGTCTAGGCTAAAACACATGAAATCTCTCGTTTAGTTTTCAAGTACAAAGTTAAAATGCCTTTTTCTTTTTTGTTTTTTTTTTTTAATAATAATATATAAGAGTAAAATAATAGTGCTCTTTGAAACTCCACTACGAGAAACAAAACAGTCATTGTCCAGACAGCAGACTTAATTTAACAATATATATTTTTAATAAAATGTTTTAGCACCGTGTTTGTCCCCACTCCCTCGGCGGATCTTAAGGAATTTAGGCCTTTCTGTGTTATTTTGAGTTTTCATCTAGGGCTGTGCAACAGAATTTGTCTGGTTGTTTTTAAAAAAAGACGTGAGTCGGGTACGTTAAAAACTGAACGCCTTTTGCCCCAGGCATCCCCACTGTCCCCACCGCTGCCGGCACCTTTTCCCAGCGGGAACCCGCTTCCCACCGGCACCGGCTCCGGAGCCGGCCTGTCTGGGACGTGCCAATGCCGCGCCGGGCCGGTCCCTCGCCGCGGCACCCGCTGGGACCCAGCACCCCCCCAAAGGTGCAGCAGGGCCAAGAGGGTCCCAGGAAGCGCCGCGGGGCCGGGCCGGGGGGTCCGCCGGGACCCCCAAACCTGGCACGTGGCCACACAGAACCCACCGACAGCACCGCAGGCCGGCGCAGCACCAGCACCCAGAGCTGCAGGGCCACAAAGGACCAGCACCCAGAGCTGTGGGTCACACAGGACCAGCACCCAGTGCCACAGGGCCGTGCAGGACCTGCCAACAACGTTGCAGGGCCGTGCAGGACCAGCACCCAGCACCTCAAGGCCATGCAGGATCAGCACCCAGTGCCACAGGGCCGTGCAGGACCCGCAAACGACGCTGCGGGGCCGTGCAGGACCCGCGAACAGCACCGAAGGGTCGTGCAGCACTTGCACCTGGGGCTGTGGGGCCAGGCAGGACCCACAGCCAGTGCCACGGAGCTGTGCAGGACCTGCAGTGCCCACTGTGCCCCACCCAGGACATGTGGGGCCACAGCAGCCCCACAAACAGGGCTGTGGGGCCGTGCGAGGCTCACACTGCACCAGGCAGGAACTGTGCCCGGTGCAATGGGCCTGTGCCACCCGGCCCCGGCACTGCAGGGATCCAGCCCCAGGAGCGAGTCGGAGCCCAGAGCCCGGCTCAGAGCCTGGGGCCGTCCCACCGCCTTCACCACCCAACAAAGCCGGGCCCCGCAGTGCCCCCACCGCGCCAGCTCAGCTCCCCTCGCCCGCCACACCCACAGAGGGGCCCCCGGGCCCCTGGTAGCACCAGGCGGGGTGGGGAGGTGGGGGGGCCCCAGGGCTGCCCCCCGCCTGCCTCGCCGCCGTCGGTCCCAGCACCTCTGAGCACCCCGGGCCGCGGGCACGGCTCGCTGCCATAGCCAGCACCCGGCAGCGAGCGCCGCGGCCCCGCACCTTTCACAGTTAGAGAAGAGACGGCGACGGGCCGAGACCCCCCAGGAGCCTCCCCATGCCATAGCACCACCGGGCCCGGCCGCCCCACGGGCACCACGGCTGCACCGGGCCGGACCCCGCAGCACCACAGCTGCCAGACCAGTAGCACCATCCACCGCACTGCCAGCACCTGCCCGCGCCCTGCCAGCTCACACCATGGCTCCCGCCACCGCAGCTCCCGGCACTGCCACTGCCACGTCCCCACAGGCACCCGTCACCCCCCAGCGGGGCACGGGGCCAGCCCACAGGGGCACCAGGGGGGATGCGCTCGCTCCAAACCGCGCGTGAGCAGAGGAGCGATGCCCCGGCGCCCGCGGTGACACCGCCGGGGCACCACCCCGGCTCGCCGGGGCATCGCCCTCCTGCCGCCAGCCCGGCCCCGCGGATGTAGCACCAGGGTCCAGGGCCCGCAGCCATCCCTGTGCCATGCCAGAAGCGCCCCGGCCGCGCTCCGGCACCGGCACCGTTCTGTCCCCCCTGACCCGCCGGCGTCCCCGCCACCGCCCGCAGCAAGAGCCTGTTGGCAGCACCTGTGCCCCGCGCCGCCCCGGCAGGCAGGCCCTGCGGGAAGGGGCAGGGCCAGGGGGGCAGGACCCCCCCCGCTGCCGCCGGGGCACCGGGGGACACCCAGCACCGGCTCTGCCGGACGCCACGTACGCAGAAGAGCACCAGTACGCTGTGGGAGCGCGGGGCGGCGGCGCCGGCGGGGCAGGGGGGCTCCGCCGAGGCGCTTCCGTTCGGGACAGAAAAAGGTTATTGCATGACTCGGGATGGAGACGCTTCCGCCCGGCCGCCCCGGCCCTGCCGCTCGCTTGGAAAGGCCCGGCACGTAAGGCAACGTGGAAGCTGATGTCTCGACTCACCCCGCTGTGTAAAGCACCATTATGAAGTCAGGTTGTACAGTAGTAACAGTACCTTTTATATATATATATATCTATATCTCATATCTATCATATATATATAAACTGTAAACAAGAGGTAACAGCGGCTTCTAGAATCTGCTCTCTTCAAGGTTTCCATGTGGTAGGCACCCAAAATACTGTAGAAAAGGTGTGTGTGTGGCATGTGTGTTCCCGGCCTCCCTGCCGGGCGGGTTGGCTCCATGTCACCGGAGAGCGGTGCTGGTGGAACAGAGCGAGGCTCAGCCGCCGGGCGCTGGAGCCACCGGGCGCTGGAGCCGCCGGGCGCTGCCGGGGCCGGGCCGGCGGGCGCTGGGCGCGGACGGAGCAGGTCTCGGAGCAGAGCGGGTCTCCTTCGCCTCCGCCTCCCTCCCAGGCTGGGCTTTCCCACTGCCGTTTCCCCTCCTCCGAGAGCGGCGCTGGCGACGGCGTCTCGTCTCGCCCGCCGCTCCGAGAAGCGGAAACCAAACCGACAGGAAAACCCAGCCAGAGAAGAGTGGAAAATTAAAAGGTTACCCCAAATAAAATGGTTTTGGTTTTTGTTTCTTTCCTTTTTTTCTTCTTCCTTTTTTTTTTCTTTTCTTTTTTTTTTCCGTTTCGTTTTTCTTTCGTTTCGACGTGGTTGTTTTTTTTTTTTTTTTTTTTTTTTTTTTTTTTTTTTTTTTTTTTTTTTTTTTTTTTTTTTTTTTTTTTTTTTTTTTTTTTTTTTTTTTTTTTTTTTTTTTTTTTTTTTTTTTTTTTTTTTTTTTTTTTTTTGTCGTTGTTTGCTTTTTTGTGGTTTTTGTTTGTTTTTCGATAGGCTAAAGCTGACCCTTGGAAATTCAGGAGAGGACACCGACCCCTTTCGCTCGGGGAGACATGTGCTGGGTTCCCGTCGGGCTGCGAAATCCCGTCTCTCTTCTGGGTGCTGACTCTTCTCTCATTCCGTGTGTTCACTTCTCTTGGCGTGGATGGGTTTGTTTCCGACTCGCTCCGTGTCACCAGTTCCTGCCCGTCTCTAAACGCAGGCAAAGTATTCCTTCAGGGGCGCGAAGAGGTGGCGGATCACCGGCACGCTCCAGGACCTGCCGAGCAGTCTCTGCCGGGCCAGGCGGCTCATGTTGGACACGTCCGTGTAGTGCACCGGGAAGCCGAAGACCCTGCGGGGCGCAGGAGGGGACAGGAGGGGTCAGGGGTGCGGGTGGGACGCGGTGCTGCGGCCACAGAGCCCCCCCCGGAGCCCCCGGTACCTCTCCATCTCCGTGCACCACAGGATGTCCTCCTTCTCGTTCATGAACACGGGGAAGTGCTGGTCCTTGCCCTGCTTGATGGAGTTGGAACGAGTGGTGATGGTTCGCACTTTGCTGAACTGCAAGAGGCACAGGCTGGTCACGCTGGGGGGTGGGATGAAGGCCCCTGACACACTGGAGCCCCCCCGACCTGCCAGAACTCCCCCAACACTGGGTGCTCACAGGCCCATCACACTGAGCGGTGGGACAGAGCCCCCTGACCCACTGAGCGGGTGCTCACAGGCAGGCAACTCCCACCACTCCACGGTACCACCCCTGTGTCCCTCCTCCATCCCCATGGGACCCCCCTGCACCCCCAGGAGCCTGGGACCGCCAGGGACCATCCTCCATCCCCTTGGTACTCCTGCCCCCACCCCCCATTGCCCACCCCAGCTGACCTTTGCTATTCTGCCGTGCTCCAGGCACTCCTGCAGCTCCAGCTTATCGTTGACAGTGGAGGCGAGTGGCCTGAGAGGGGAAGAGATGGTGGGCAGGGGGTGTCAGTGTCCCCAGACTGTCCCCCCGTGGGTGCAGGGCAGGTTTCCAGATGGGGTTTGGGGGGGGCACAGGGCAGCCATGGCTGTTTTGGGGGCTGTGACAGGCAATGGCAAGAAGCAGCTGATTCCTGTGGGGGCCGGTCTGTGGCCACCAGCCGTGGGCCACCACAGCCACCATCTAGGAGGGACACAAAGGGCAGCTTAGGGCCAGCCCTCCAGCACAAGGGAGCAGGGACAGGACCAGTACCCTCCATAGGAGCACCATGCTGGATTTCTGGGGTGTGCCATCCCCTCTTTGTGAGACTCTTGCTCTCCCAGCACTGACCCTCAGGGAGTCAGGGGACCCCCAGGGCCATGTCAGGGGTGAGGGGGGACCCAGAGGTGCAGCCCACCCTCCCGGAGCTGGGCCAGGGGCTCTCACCAACCTGTTCATCCCGGGCAGGTTCCCCCAGAAGTACCGTGCCCGGTGTGCTGCAGACACTTCTTTGGCATCAATCATGACGGGGTTGGACTGCAGGAGGGGGAGCGGGAGGTCAGTGGGGCTCAGCAGCCCCTCGTGGTGAGAACGGGACCCTCGGGGTCCCAGGGGTTGTCACGGGGGTGACCCCAGGCAGGCACTGACCTCCAGGAAGCGCGAGATGTCCCTCTTGTCGCTCACCCCCATGGCCACCACGTTCTCGAAGAGCCAGAAGAAGGGCCGGTCGTCGCCCTCCTTGGGCCGGGCTTCGTGGAGCAGGCGGTAGAACTCAAAGAAGAGGCGCCCAGTGCCCTCTGGGAGGAGAGAGGAGGGGGTCAGGGTCAGGGTGGGGGGGCTGTGTAAGCCCTGGGGCCCAGCAGTGGGGTCCAGCCCCAGCCCCGTGGACACATTCCTACCATAGAGCCCCTTCCTGGCCGGGTTGACGATGGAGAGGTCATTGCAGGGGCTCCCCCCAATTACCAGGTCGAAGGGGCCCCACTCCTGTATCTGCAAGAGGAAGAGGAGACCCTTGGTGAGCTCGGCATTGCCATGGCCTCAGGGACACAGGGGGTGATGGTGGCTGAGCTCCCAGTGGGATCAGAGAATCATGGAATGTCCTGAGCAGGAAGGGACCCACAAGGATCATCAATCTAACTCCTTGGTCCTGCCCAGACACCCCAACAATCCCACCCTCCCCCCCAGAGCACTGTCCCTGAGCTCTGTCAGCCTTGGGGCTGTGCTCGCTGCCCTGGGGAGCCAGTTCAGTGCCCAGACACCCTCTGGGGGAAGAACCTTTCCCTGAGATCCAGCCTAAGCCTTCCCTGGCACAGCTCCAGCCCTTCCCTCAAGTCCTGCCACTGGTCACTGAGAGCAGAGGTTGGTGTTGCCCCTCGGGAGGAAGCTGCAGGCCCCTGAGGTCTGTCCTCAGCCTCCTGAGGATGAGGGACCGGCCCCATGTGAGGACAGGGGCATTTGGGGGGTCCCAGGGGTGCGCGGGGTCAGGACAGGACGTACGTGTTTCTGGGTGACGTTGCGGACATCCCCGACGTACATGATCTTGCCCTGGTGCCTCACCATGCCCACGGTGATGGAGTCCTCGCACACCTCGGAGGCAATGTACCTGTCCACCTGGATGCCCAGGTCCTTCAGCACCAGCAGCCCTGTGGGAGCAGCGGGGGGTGGGTGATGGGGATGGACGATGGGCCCCCCCACCTGTCCCGCCATTCCTGGACCATCCCTCTTCCCCTGGATCCCCCCTGGGGCACAGCGGATAGGAGGGGCTGCCCACGGGGACACCCACCTGGGGTGTCCCACAGATGTGTCCACGCCCCCTGCCCCAAGGCTGGCTGGTTGTGGGGTGCAGGCAGGCTGCTCCCCCACCCCCAATCCCAAACACAGCCCAGGGAAGCTCTGCCGGGCCAGAGACCCCCACCCACCTGTGGCGATGCCATCAAAGAGCGAAAGCACCCGGATGGGCTTCCTCTTCTCGGCCGGCACGGGTGGGTACACCTTCGGTGGGTCCTGAGAGCCACGGGGAGGTCAGTGGGCAGGGGGCTGGGGGGCAGCAGGGAGGGGGTTGGGGGAAGAGAGGGGGTCACTCACAAACTCCTGGTCGTGGTTGTTGGCGAAGAACATCTGGAGGCGCGAGGGCCAGTCCTCCCGCCGCCGCAGCAGCCCGTACACCCCCTTATGGCCGCACATGTAGCAGTTCCAGGGGTCCTCCTTGATGGCCGCCTGCGCCGCCCCCGGGCCCACCAGCAGGTCCACGCACTCCACGCAGAAGCACCTGGCACAGGGGGAGCTGGGGTCAGTGGTGGGGCTCGTGCCAGGGCGGTGGTACCGCCACAATCCACCCGGCTCCACACCGGAACTGGCGTCCATCACCGAAACCCCACTGCAGGACTGGGGCATCACCAGCGCTTCCCAGCTCCGTGCTGGGACTTCCAAAGCTTCTTCCAGCCCTACAGCAGGGCCAGGGCACCACCAAACCTTCCCCAGCCTCATGCCAGGACCAACAAAACCTTCCCAGCCCCAAACCATCACCAAATTCCCATACCTGGACTGGCATCACCAAAACCCCCACACAGGGCTGAGGCACCAACAAAACCTCCCCAGTCCCACACCTGGTCTGGCATCACCCAAAACCCCACAGCAGGACCGCCAAAACTGAAACCTCCCCATCTCCACGCCAGGACTGTGGCATCACCAAAATTTGCCAGTCCCACACCAGGACTGGCATCACCCAATTCCCACGTCAGAACTGGAGTATCACCAAAACTTCCCTCAACCCCACAGACCAGGACCAGAGCACCACCAAAACCTCCCCAGACCCACGCCAGGACTGGGACACCACGAAGCATCCCAGCCCCAAACCAGGACCAGCATCCCTGAATTTCCACACCAGGCCTGTGGCACCACCAAAACCTTGCACCAGGACTGTGGCACCACCAGAACCTCTCCACACTCACACCAGGACTGAGACATCACAAAATGTCCCAGCCCCAAACCCGGACTGGTGCTGAGGAACCAGTCTGGTCCAGGTGCTGACTGAGCTGCAGATTGAGCTGTGGGAGACCCAGCTCACCCCTGAGATGACAAAGGGCACAAGAATGGGTGAGATGACAGGACACTGAGATACACAGCAGGAAGTGGGAATTGCCAACATTCTGGATTAAAAAGGAGATGAAGACAGCAAGGTGGATGGACAAGGAGCAGGGAGCAGGAGCTGAAGGCTCAGGAGGAAGAGGGAGTTTATACAAGGGGAGCCTGTGAGGGTATAAAAGCCCGTGGTCCTTTGCTGGGGGTCCCTCCTCAGAAGCACCAACTCAAGCTGTTTCTGTGTTACTGTGCTCGGAATCCATGGCTTCATGGAACAAGGCATCTGAGACTGCCATGGGGAACCTGAGGGGGAATTGTGAGGGGGGGATGTGGGGAATCTGGTGGGACCCACTGGGCCACTGGAGCTGCTGCTCTGAGGGGGTTCCAGTCCCAGCAGTGACAGTCTCTGGTGGTGGGAGTGTGACTGCCAGGGAGTCTTGGGAATGGTCAGACTGGGAAGTTTCTGTAACAACTGGCATCACTGAATTCCCACGCCTGGGCACCACCAAACCTCACAGTCCCACACCAGGATTGGTATTACTGACACCCCATGCTGGGACTGTGGGATCACCAAACCCTCCCCAGACTCACACCAGGAATGGGACATCACCAAGACCCCGCACTGGGAACAGTGGCACCACCAAAATCTCTCAGTCCCACGCCAGGTCTGGCATCACCGAAACCACCCGGTGCTGTGCCACAGGCCACGACACTGCCAAGACATCCCAGCCCCAAACCAGGACTGGCATCACTGAACTCCCATGCCAAGACTGGGCATCACTGAAACTCCCCAGGAGTCCCTTACTGAGACATCACCAAAACACCCCAGGACTGACACCACCAAAACCTCCCCAGCCTCATTCACGCCTGACAGAACTACAGTACCACTGAACCCTCCTCAGCTCCACACCAGGACTGGCAACCCTGAACCCTCCTCAGCTCCACACCAGGACTGTGGCAACCCTGAACCCTCCTCAGCTCCACAGCAGGACTGTGGCAATCCTGAACCCTCCTCAGCCCCACAGCAGGACTGTGGCAACCCTGAACCCTCCTCAGCTCCACACCAGGACTGTGGCAATCCTGAACCCTCCTCAGCTCCACAGCAGGACCATGGCACCCCCAGTCTCCCCGAGCCCCTGCACCTGCAGCAGTTGTTGTTCCCACACATGAGGACCTCGCGGCCGCCGCAGCAGATGGTGCAGTAGGACTGGTACCCGTCGTCGTCGTACTGGTAGGCGCACTCCAGGAAGCAGTTCTGGGGACAGCCGGGGTGTCACCACAGCCCTGGGGGCTCCAGGGACCCCATGGACCCCGGGATGGGGCTGGGTACCCCACGAGACCCCCAGGCAGGGGTTGGGGGCCAGGCCCCACGCCGTACCTTGCAGTTTTGGCACATTCCCCCGATGAACAGAGGGTGCTCCAGGGTCACGTTGAGGCTCCCACAGGAGATGCAGATATCTGGGGGGGGAAGGAGGGGTGATGTCACCCCCAGCACCCCACACTGGGACAGCCCAGCACAGAAGGCATCCTGATCCTGACCCCCTGTCACCCCCTGTACACGCTACCCCATGTCAGGGTCACACTGGAGCTGGGAACAAACCATGGAGACAGTAGGAATGGCTCCCATTGCCCTCCCTTTCCCTGTCCTGCACCCCAACAGCCCCAGCCCCAGGCAGTGTCCCAGGATCTCTGCCACCATCCAGGCCACCATAATGTCTCAGCTGCTGTCCCTGCTGCTGGCCAGGCTGAGGGGTGGGACAAGTTCACACTCAACCCCTTGAGCTCAATCCCCTCTCCGAGCCCCCTCTGCTCTGCTCTGCTCTGCTCTGGGGTGCCCAGGCAGGGAGGGACCCTCAGCCCAACCCACCCCAAGGTCAGGAGGTGCCCCAGCCCCACACTCACCTTCAATGTTCCTGCACTTCTGCCGGACCTCGTACACCAACCGCTCTGGGGGAAGAGGAGGGTCAGGGGAGCCCGGCCCTGTCCAGGTCCCCTTGTGGCAGGGCGTGAAGGGAGGGGACCCCCAGGAGCAGCTCCCAACACCCCAGTCCCCCTGCAGAGCGGGGTGGGCACAGGAGCACCCCCAGCCTGGTACCTCGGGTGCGCTCGTCGATGATCTCCTTGACCTTGGGCTTCTCCTGGGTTGTGCTTTTGCGGGGTTTTTTGGCGGGCGGGGGCGGGGCATAGGCAGCGGCCTCGGGCTCGACCCACATCTCCGTGTAAACTTCTTTGTAGGGGTTCCGCTCCTCTGTGGGGCCGAGGGGGGCCGTCAGGAGGGTCCCCTCAGCAGGGTCCCACCAGAGGGGTCCCAGCCCCACAGCCCTTGCCCTGCCCAGGCCCATCTCATCCTGGGGCAGGTCCTCACCCCACAGCCCTCCCTCACCTTCAGGGGGCTCCAGCCCCTTGGGGCCTGAGGGCTGGAAGCCACCCAGGGCCCACTCGATCATCTGCTTGTTCTGGATCTCCACCACCTTGGACGTGTCCGTCTCGTCGTTCTCGGGGCACGCGGGGAAGATCTTCCCGGCCCGGCTGCTGGCCACCTGCCCGGGGGTCCACGTGTCACCCCCCCCCCCCCCCCCAGTCCCTCCCAGCTGTTCCTGCCGAGACCCCTCCCAAAAGCCAGACCCCCTCAACATCCCCCCCCAGGGCCTTCAGCAACTCCCTCAGAGTCCCCGACAACCCTCCCAGCACCCCCAATAGCCCCCTGCATGCTGCTGGCTGGCACAAGCAGTTCCCAGACACCCCTAAAACCTCCTCTGGGGGTCTCCCAGACCTCCCAGTCTTTTAGGAGACCCCCGGGGTGCTGGAGGGGAGGCAGGGCCAGGTCCTGGCAGGGTGTGGAGGCAGGTGCTGCTCCCATGGATGGAGAACTGGTGTCCCCCCACCCTCACAGTGCCAGGGGCTGGTGTCCCCTGCGGTGTCCCCCCCCCTCCCCCCGATGTCCCCACTCACCTGCAGCACCTCGTAGATAGCCTTGCGGTACATGGGCTGTTTGTTGTAGGTAGCCTGGTGGAAGGCGCTGGCAAAGGAGCTCAGGGGGAGCAGCTTCTCCACACATACCTGGGGACAGGACGCGGCTGTGGGGACACGCGGGGAGGGGGCTGTGCCGTCCCCCCCGGCTCCCCGGGGGGAGCCACTTACCACTGAGAACTTGCCGTCCCCGAACCACATGACCCAGCGGGTTCCCTCGGCAGCGCGGCTCCGGCCCGTCATCCACCAGGACACGATGCGCCCGGGCCACCAGGAGAACCCGCGCAGCTTCCCCCACACCAGCTCCCCGATGCCGAACCCGCGCCCGTCCTGGGGGACACGCGGGGGTCAGGAGGGGCTCGGGGCTGCCTGTGCCCCGCTGCCCCCCCCGCCCTGCCCGGCCCTGCCCTCACCTCGTACTCGGGCTCGTCGTCGGCGGATTTGGAGGCGTTCTTGTCACCCGCGTCGGCCACTGCGGGCTCGGGGGTGGTGGCCACGCTGGGCGAGGCGGGGTCGGTGGGCTGCTGGGGGGCGGGCGGGGGGCTCGCCTCCTCCTCCTTCTGCGGGTCGGCCCGCGCCGGCTCCTCCACCACGTTCATCACGGCGATCACCTTCGCCTTCTTCTCTGCCTGCGGGGGGAGGCAGCTCAGGGCATCGCCCCCGGAGCCGCCGAGCGGGGGTCGGGCCATCGCCCCCGGGACCCGGCCGGGGGTCAGGGCATCGCCCTCCACAGCCCCTCATACGGGGGTGGCCTGGGGCTGCCCCGATCCCCCACAGCCCCTCATACGGGGGCGGCCTGGGGCTGCCCCGATCCCCCACAGCCCCTCATACGGGGGTGGCCTGGGGCTGCCCCGATCCCCCACAGCCCCTCATACGGGGGTGGCCTGGGGCTGCCCCGATCCCCCACAGCCCCTCACACGAGCCTGGCACCCCTCCGAGGGACCCCCCCGGCCACAGCCGCCATCGCCCCCCGCGGGGCTCGGGGGTTCCCCTGCCCAGGCCCCGCTGTCCCCCAGTCCCGTCCCAGAGGGGTCGTGACCCCCCGCTCCCCTCCCACCCCCGGGGCAGCCCCGCACCCTCTGCCTTCCCCGGGCACGGCGCCCCGCGATCCATCCTGGGACCCCCGGTACTCACGCCGGGACGCCCCGGGCCCGTCGTGCCCCATGTCCCCCTCTCGGGGCCCCCCCTCGGAACCCCCGGCCCCGGTCACGTACCCGCGGAGACCGGGGGGCAGCCGGGGCGGAACGCGCGGAGCCGGAACGCGCGAACCCGGCCGGGCCGGTGCGGGTCAGCCCGGCGGCCCTTTGTCTGGGCTCCGGGTCACGTGACGCGTCCCGGCCCGGCTGGTTGGCTGGCGGGGGGGGGGCGCGCGCCGGGGGCACGGGCCGGACCGGACCCGAAGGGACCCGAGCTCAGCCGAACGGACCCGAAACGACCCAAACGGAACCGAAAGAACCCGAACAAGAACGAACGCACCCGAGCGACACAGAAAGGGTCCGAATAGTCCTCGGGCCGAACCGAAGGGTCCCGAGCAGACCCGGAGTGCCCCGAGTAGAACCGAAGGATCCCGAGCGGGACCGGAGTACCCCGAGCAGTACCGGAGTACCCCGAGCGGATCCGGAGTATCCCGAGCGGAGCCGAACGGCCCCGAGCGGCTCAGCCCGGTGCCGCTCGCCCGGTGTCCCCCGGCCCGGTGCCGCTCGCCCCTGCCCCGTTGTGTCCCGGTCCCGGCCCGTCCCTCCCACCACTCACGGGCCCGCGGCCGCGCTCCGCTCCGCTCCGGGCTGGGCTGGGCTGTGCTGTGCCTCCCGCCGCGGGGCCGCTCCCGCCGCCTTTTGTGCCGGGGCCGCGGCCCCCCGGCCTTTGTGCGGAGCGCCGGGACGGGGCGGGGGGCGGCGGCGCCCCGGGGGCCTCGCCCCGCACGGAGGGAGCCGCCCCCGCCCCCCGTACCAGTGTCCCCAGTGCCGCCAGTCTGGGGACTGGGGGGGCCAGCGATGGCACCGGCCCCTCTGCACCAGTTCGGCCCAGTACGGGAACAGGGCTGGGGTCACATCGCCCAGTTCGGCCCCGTACGGACAAGGGGCCGGGGCTGCACTGGCCAGTTCGGCCCAGTGCAAACACCAGCCCGGGGTCACACAGCCCAGTTCATCAGCCCAGCATGGACCGGTCTGGGGCTGCACTGCCCAGTTCAGCCCAGCACAGACACTGGCCTGGGACTGGCACCGGCACCACCACCCCCATTCAGCCCAGTATGGATGGGACACACCTGGGACCCTGCACCCCAGGACAGGCCCTGCCACCCCTCTGCCAGCCTGGGGGACACCCGAGGGTCCCCACTGTCCCCAAAGGTCCCACGGCATGGTGGCTGCAGGCCCCCTGTGTGTGCAGTGAAGGACAAAGGGGCCAGCGGTGTCACCATGGAGGGGCAGTGGGACCCCTGCTCTGCCACCCCCTGCCTGGGCATCCCCGGGCCACTGCCTTGCCCAGGGACCCTGAGAGTCCCTGAGCATGGCTGCGCCCCAGTGCCACCTCTGGGTGTGCCCCAGGGAACAGGGCTGACTCTGTGCCCCTCCCCAGGTGACAGCAGGGACACCCCATTCCGTCCAGCCCTCCTTGGCTGTGCCAGAGCAGCAACAGCTGCTTTGGGGACCTGGGATGTTTGGGGACACGAGTGGCCCTGGGCCAGAGGACACAAGGTGGGTGACACCCACAGTGTCCCAGGGCAGGGTCCAAGCTGGGCCTGGTGCCCCCACCCCCAGTGCTGGTCCCACTGGGCCCCCCCCCTCCCCACTCTGCCCTAGAGCGGGGACAGGAAATGTCCCATTGCCGGTCGTTAAGGGATCGCTGCTGGATGTCACCACTGGACAATTGTCCCTGCCCTGGGGTCACCGGCAGCTCTGCCAGCCCTGTCCTCATCCCCAGCCCAATCCTCATCCTAGTCTCCATCTCCATCCCCAATCCCATCTCTTGCCCCACCCCCATCCTCATCTCCATTCCATCCTGATTCCCACCCCCATCCCCATCTCCGTTTTCATCCCATCCTCATCCCATCTCCATCCCCTGTCCCATCCCCATCCCCTGTCCTTGCCTCATCCCCATCCCATTCCCACCTCCATCCTTTGCCCCATCCCCATCTCTGTTCCCATCTTCATCCCATCTCCATATCCTCCTTCATCTTCATCCCAACACTACCCCCATTTCCCATCCCACCTCCATTCCCATCCCCATCCCCGTGGCTGGCACAGGGTGGGGGGTCCCAGCAGAGGTCCCAGCATAGACAGGTGAGGGCCAGCACCAGACCCTGGATGTCCCTGTCCCCAGCACCAGACCCTGGATGTCCCTGTCCCCACGCTGGCCCTGGATGTCCCTGTCCCCACACTGGCCCTGGATGTCCCTGCCATCCCCAGTGCCAGGCCCTGCCCATCCCCATCACTGTGGTGCTGCTGAGTGCCAGCCATGGCCTTCAGAGGCTGGGGGGATGAGGAAGAGGAAGGAAGGCTGGAGGGGGCTGGGCTGTCCCTGTGCCCACCACAGAAAGGCTGGTGACCCCAGCTGAGACCTCCCCAGACTGCAGGGGGTGTCCCCAAACTGGGACACAGGTGGTGAGTGGCACAGCGAGGGCAGCCCTGGCATTGTCTGGGGATGAAGGGGAGCCATGCCTGGCCACTGGGCCACCAAAAACACAGCCCAGAGGTGATCAATGACAGGTTTGGGATCCCCCAAAATTTGGGGACCACTACAGTTTGGGGACCTTCACCCAGAAGAACCTGCCAGTGCCAAAGGGCTCCAGTGTGGCGAGATGAGGCAGGGCTGGCACTGGGCACTGGGGGGCTGTTCCTGGGGACCCCTTCCAGGAAGAGGGAAGGGGTCATGCCCTGTGCCCCATGGACACAGCTGTCCCTTGTGCCCCGTGGGGACATTGTGGCTGTGCCAGCCATTCCCTGTGTCCCTTGGGAATATCATGGCCATATCAGCTGTACCCCGTGTCCCATGGGGACACTGTGGCTGTGCCAGCTGTGCTCTGTGCCCCACGGGATGACCTGGGCACAACAGCCATGTCCCATGGGATGCCCTGGCTGTGCCAGTCTCTCCTGTCCCTGTGTTGTGCCAGTGACACTGGCACGAGGGGATACCTTGCCAGGGAGACTTATCTGGCAGAGAGGGACAACACAGAGGATGGGGTGAGGGGGCACAGTGGGGACCCCAGGGCACCTGCAAAGATCCCCCAAGCAGCCACCGGCACTGTGGCCACCCCATGCCTGCACCAGGCTCCTGCTGCTGAGCCCGGCTGCATCACACACTGACTGGCTCCCCAGGAGAGTGGCAGGAATGGGCGGCACATCCCACGGCAGGAGCTCGGGCTCTGCTGCCCACGGCTGCACACGCTGGGACCTGGGCAAGGGTGGCCCAGGGGCCACAGGGGGAAGAACGGAGGGGTCCTGCCAGGGGTCCCTGGTCCACGAGCCCCACAGCCTGGCAAAGCTCTTGTGATTTGCTGGGGGAGCCCTGGAGCCCAGTGGCCACCCCAGGGTTGGGGTGCTGGGACCACACGGTGCCCACCCAGACCGCATTGTGCCCGCCCCGCGCCGGTGCCGGCCCTCACCTCCCGCTTCCAGCGCGCCAGCCACTCGTCCCGCTTCCTCTTGCTGATGTAGTAGGGGTCCCCGGCCTGGAAGGTGTGTCGCTGCATCGGCCGCTGCCGCAGGCTCGACTCCCAGCCCAGGCCCCCCCGCAGCCGCCCACGAGAGCCCTGTGCCAGAGAGAGCAGGGTCAGGGACTGGGGGGTGAGGGAGCAGGGTCAGGGATGGGGGGGTGAGGGAGCAGGGTCAGGGATGGGGGGGTGAGGGAGCAGGGTCAGGGATGGGGGGGTGAGGGAGCAGGGCCAGGGCACTGGGGTGGCAGTGCGGTGGGAACCACAGGCTGGGCTTGGGAATGGTGTGCAGGACAGAGCAGAGCTGCCCGGGGGAGCTGGAGGGGGGCACCCACTTCTGTGTGAGGGACATGGGCAGGAGGGGCATCATCTACCCAGGCACACGCTCTGGCCTATGTGTGTACCAGCACCTGGATGCCCAGAGATTGGATACTGGAGAGAGATTCTTGGCTGGGAGGGTGGGCAGGCCCTGGCACAGGTTGGGCAGAGAAGCTGTGGCTGCCCCTGGATCCCTGGAAGTGTCCCAGGCCAGGTTGGACGGGGCTTGGAGCAACCTGGGCTGGTGGAAGGTGTCCCTGCTCATGGCAGGGGGAGGAATGGGATGGGATTTAAGGTCCCTTCCAGCCCAAATCAGTCTGGGATTCAATGTCCCAGATGGCACAGCACCAGACACTTTGCCACGGCCAGCTGCACCTTGGTGGGCACTGTCAACACTGTCCAGGCATGGATCCACCCCAGAGCAGATCCAACATACTGTGTGGGCACCTGGGGGAGGAGAGGGGTCAGCCTGGGCAGGCACCACCCCACACAGGGCTGAGTGGAGGGGCATCACCGGCCTGGCACATCCCGGTGCCAGCTGGTTCCCAGCACGGCACAGCAGGTGCTGCCCAGTGCCCAGCTGTGTTGGGGCTCTGGAACCTGAGACCCCCATCCTGTGGGGACCCTGTTCCTGATGCCACCAGTGCCGAGGGAGTGAGGAGGGATGGTGCCCAGGAGCACAGGGAGAGCTGTGGGTCTATTCCCATCTCCCGGGGTGGGCTGTGGGGCCGTGTCCATCTCCTGGGTGCAGTCCTGTGGAGTCCAGCCCCCGGGCCATACTTGCCTCCATTTTCAGGGTGTCGAAGTTGTTTTCCTCCTTCTCGTCCTTGCCTGCACACAGAACAGAGAGCGGCCGTGAGCAGGGGACTGGGGGGGCTGCGGGGCTGGGACCCCGTGGGGAGATGGGCCCACCCGGGACCCCCCAGCCCATCCAGGGGCTGCCCTGTGCTGGGGATGGGCACCCTTGGCTGACACACAGGGCCTGGGCTGCGCTCCCGGCTGGATCTGTGCTGTGATGGGGCTGCCGGTCCTGTCCCAGCCAGGGGTCTGGGGGTCCGGGGCAGTGACCCCCCCCCCCCCCCCCCGGCAGGCAGGGGAAGTGGCCCGGCTGCTTCCTGTGCTGTCGGCACATCCGTGCTGCAGGTTCTGCCGAGGCGCTGCCAGGAAAGCGGCTAAAAATAACCCCGGGCGTTCTTCGGGGGTGTGAACCGCCCGCACCCCGAGGGAGGGCCGGGGCTGTGGGGGCGGTGGGGGGAGCGCGAGGGGTGCAGGGGGGGCTCCCACCCGCTCCCAGCAGCTCTCGGTGCTTCATCCTGGCTGCTGTCCTGGGCAATAACTGTCCCAGCACAGACCCCTGGGCGTCCCCCAGCCCTGGGAGACACCTGGGCAGTCCCCCACAGCCAGCACAGGGAGATGCAGCAGGACACTGGGGGACAGCAGGGGACAGGGAGGGACAGCAAAGGACACTGCGGGACACTGTGGGATGCTGGGGAACACTGCAGGACACCGAGGGACAGTAAGGGACACTGCGGGACCTTGGGGACACTGCAGGACACTGGGGGACTGTGGGGGACACTGGGGGACATTGCAAGATGCTGAGGGACGGCAGAGGACACTGCAGGATAGTGCAGGACCATCAGGAACACTGCAGGGTACTGAGGGGCAGTAGGGGACACTGAAGAACACTGGGGGAGAGCAAGGAACACTGCGGGACAGGGGGGGACACTGCAGGACACTTGGGGACAGTGGGGGACACTGCAGGACAGGAGCCTTTCTGGCTCCGTGCCGGGGGTTGGACTGTGTGTGTGCCCCAGGGGTGTCCGGGCATCCCGTGCTTCCACGGGGATCTTAACTAGGGAAACTGAGGCACAGGAGAGGGGACCTGGCCTGTTCCAAGACGCTGGTCCCCTCGGTCACTGGGACTGGTCAAACTGGGGGCACTGACACGCGTGGGGACCGCCCGTGGCTGCGGCTCGTGCTGAGCACAGGATGCTCAGGGAGCCCTGTCCGGCCGGGAGGAGCAGGAGAGGGTTCGGCAGGGGAGGAGCCGAGCCTGGCGCTGTGACCTCGGCACAGGCACGGCCGGAGCGCTGGAAATGGCTCCTGGGGAAGGGAGCGAGATGCGGGTGGCGTCACGGCCCCCTCGGGCCCTCCTGGCGACCACCGGGAACAGCTCGGACACCACCCCCGGCCCCCACATCAGTGTGCAGCTCCGGCCGGCCGCCGTGTCAGCCCGGCACCGGCGTGGCCCCACGGCCACGGTCACGGCCCGGGCCCACCCCGCTCCCCCCGCTCCCGGCTCCGGCTGCGGCGCTCCCGCGGCTGCGCCTCGTGACTGCGGCAGCATCTGCAGCGCAGCTCATCCATCCCAGCCTGCCTCAGCCTTCCCAGCCTCTCCCAGCTCCATCCCTGCCTGCCTCATCCATCCCA